ACAATATGCCTTGCATATTGGTGAGCTTGGTGTGCTGAGTGTGGCCTATAATGAAGGGGTGCGCTGGATACCCAGTCAGGGCAAGGTACAGGCTTCACCCAGGTTGTCCTGGACGCTCAAAATAGCCCTATGAGAGAGGCTGAGGGAAGGGTGAGATGCTTGCTCGAGGGCGCAGAGCTCCTCAGTGGCTGCAGCTGGCCGCCTGCTGGTCTGGGAGGCTGAGGAAGGATTCCTGCTCTAGGTTCCCCTTAGCCAGTGCAATTCTGGGACATGGGGTCTCTGAAGGGGCCACAGTCATCTCGAGGCCCTCCCTGGATATTAAGAAGAGGAAATGCTCACTGAAGAGGGAGAGCAAACGCTGCCTCCACCAAGCCAACACCATTTTCCTTCCCACCTTCTTTGTGACCAGTGGCTCAGCAGCGTCTGGTCCAACTGTGCACCAGACACCAGCCCAGGATCAAGGTCTCTGGCTCTGTGGGTCTCACTGGAACCTGAGGCTGCAGCACTCTGGCTTAGCTGTCTACACTGCCAGGCCATGACCCCGAGAAGCAGGGAGCATGCTGACGTGGCTGCTGGGTGCCCTGTGAAAGCCCCTTGCCACACCTGGATCTTGGGTTCCTTACCTGCAGATGGGAAAGCTGAACTTCTGGGTCTCTAAGAGCCACCCATCTCCACATCAGGTGTTCTAGAAAGTGTCTAGAGACCCGCACGTCCACCCACACTTGGCCAAGGTTTGGCTCCTTGAGTGTCTCTAAGGGCTTTTTTCACTGACCCTGGATAACCCTTCTCCTTTGCGAAAGTATGGTCACAGATGGTGCAAGGGGTGTCTTTGGGCTCCTGCCCTGTGCTGGGCACTGAGGATGGGAAGGTGGACAGGGCTTGGTTTGTGGGGGAGAATGCATGGAATGCTTATTAGGACATAAGAGAGTAAGTGTGGAGGGAGTGTAACTTTGTACAACTTTCTAGAAAAGTCATTGGGCAACATGTATCATAAATTTCACAATGTTTATATCTTTAGGCCCATTCATTCCACTCCTGGGAATCTAACTTAAGAGACCAATTAGAAGCCGGGGGAGAATAAGGGGTTTATTGCAGGATTAATTAAAACTTGAAAATAACCTACGTGTGAACAACAGAGAACAGGTTAATTAGACCATGTCACAGATACTTAAGGAAATATTTCAGTTGTTAAAATGGATGCTATAATTTTTGGAAAATGCTTTTTGAAATGGCATTAACCAAAAAATGCAAAACAGAATGGAGGAGACAGGGTTTGAGCTCCATTTAGGAAAAAATAAAAAGAGAATTCAAAGAGAAGAAATTTAACAGAATACCAAAAGTAATCACATTTGTTTTGTTTGTTTTTCGGCAGCTGGCCAGTAAGGGATCCAAACGCTTGACTCTGGTGTTACCAACACCACTCTCTAACCAAGTGAGCTAACTGGCCAGCCCTCACACGTGGGTAATAGATGATTTTATGGGTGACTTAAAACATTATTTTCTTTATTTCTCAACCGTCTTTTAAGGCCTAGTGCAAAAGGAATCCCTTCCATGAAGCCTTCCATGATTCCCCTAGATGGAAGCACTGTCTCACCCACTGACGCCTGGGACATTTGCTGTGACTCTCTTGTGCATCTGCCATCTGTGCTGTGCTCAGGTCTGTCTTCACCCAGGCCGAACCTGTCAGGGACATGGCTGTGTAGCCCACATCTCTGGGTCCTCGTGCCTGACTGCAGGCCTGTTTGCACTGTGCATCTACTGGCCAGCTGAGGTGCACTTGGACTCACGTCAACACTCACTTTCGGGCTTTGTTAGGACAGCTCTAGAGCAGCCCCTACTCCAGGGCTAGTGTAGTTCTAACCCTTTTCAAAAGGACTGAAATCAGAGCAGTGATTACCAAGGATGGGGGTAGGGGGAGGAAGTGATGACCAAGGACAGAAGGGATGCTCTGGGTGGTAGAATCGTTCCCGTCCTGACTGTGGTGGTGACTACTTGGCTGGATGCATGTGTCAAAACTCATAGAACTGTACTCCTAAAAACAGTGAATTTTATTCTATGTAAATACCTCGCTAAATCTAACTTTCAAAAGAAGGTGGCTTTTCTGAGGTCTCCAGTGGGTGGCTGCTGTGTTCCACACGGTCCCTGCACTCTGGCTGGTTGGCGCTGCAGCATCTCTGCACCTGTGCGTCCTGTGGGGCCTCCCCTCAGCCCCGCAGCCCCTGGTAATTCTTCTCTGCCACCCCCATTCCCGTGGAAGGAGGCCCTCGAAGGGGGAGGGGCAAATTGTTTTGTCACATTCTTCTCCCCGTCCCCAGCCCTAGCCCCCTGCCTGGACCCCTCACATCACACAGCTTGGCCCACCCTGAAGCAGGCCAGCCTCTCCCACCCCACTCATCCCGTCCTTGGAATGCACTTCTCCACGTCCTCCTCCAGGGAACTCCTGCCCAGCCTTCACCGTCCAGCGTCGTGGTCACCTCCTCTGTGAAGGCTTCCCACACTGCATCCGCCTGGGCCTCTCCCGGTGCAGTTTCTGCCATTCTACACGCTTTAACTGCCCAGTTCCCCCCGCTACAGAGTCCTGGGGACAGGATAGGGCCACCCTGCACCCCACCCTTCCTGTCACCATGTCTCTTGTTGTGAAGTCTTGCAGGAAGTCAGGCTATCTCCAGACTGAAGCCTCAGGAGGCCAGATCCTGCATGCGACGTGGGCTGAGCCAATCGGGTGCTGGGACTTTGCCTCTGCACTGAGCAATGCCCCAGGAGGGGCCAATGGCAGGTGCTTGCAGCATCGGGGGAGCCCTGCATCCACCAGCCAGGTGCAAGGTGAGTCCTGGGCAGTTCCCCACCCCTGTTCCTGGGCCGTGACCTTGGCTGTGCTCCTGCCTGTTTTCCCAGTAGTTTCCCAGCTTTCTTATCAGAGAGTTTTCTGTTGCTTGCAACCAAGAACACTGACTGATATAAATGGAGACATGCAAATTGGCTGAGTCCCCAGCACCTAGTGCAATGCGCGGAACAAGGTAAGAGCCCAGGAAGGTCAGTTCCTTCCCCTTCCTCTTTTCCCTTTAAAGGCATCCCTCTGCCTCCAGGCAAACATGCCCCACCTGATGGCAAATTTCCCTGGGGAAGAAACAGAACAGCTAAAAGCATCCCATGACCAGGCTTACTGCATGTCACTCCTTGCAGGGGCTCCTGAGATGCCCCAGGCCCACACTCCCACATGGCCCCCTTCCCAAAGTTAGTGGTCAGGCCACTGGCAAACCAGCCAGCCTAACCCACCCCCCAATGGTCACACGCACATGCCTGTATGCATGTATATACACACACATACACACGCATATGTGCACATGAACATGCACACACTGCACTCGCACACACGTGCACACATGTCCACACAGGCACGTGGGCACACTCATATGTGCACACACACACTCTCATGTAAGCATCTGCACCACACACGCACATATGCAATACTCGTGTATACACATGTGCATGTGGGTGCACACAGTCACATACACACATACACAAAGGCACACGCACACACACCTGTCACTGCTGCTCCTTGTCTGCAAAAAGGCCTTAGCAACACCCCTGCCCTGCACCGCCCACCCCCAGCTCTGTGCTCCTGGGTCCCCAAGTCCAGGTCTAGGCAGGGCCTGGGGCTGGGAGTCACCAAAGCCCATTGTGTCTGGCACCCGTTTTCAGGGTCTCTCGCCTCTCTGTGCCTCAGCTTCTCCATCCAGCCCTATGTGGTGCAGTGGGGCCTGCTGCGGAGGCTGGCAGCTTTGCCTTCAACCGCCCCTGTCGTGTGTCTCTGGAAAGGGCCCCCCGCCCTCAGGCATCCTCAGGGACTGATGCAAGGAGCCCATTTGTCACTCTGTGTTGAGGATGGGTGTGGGATGTTAGGAAGGGGCTCCCTGTGGGGCCGTAACTCACCGTGGGGAGTAGAGAAGCTGGCTGGGGTGGTGGTCGTGGGAACGAGCTGGATGACAGAGGCTGGTGTCTTGGCTGGAGTCCTGTGGTAAGACTGCCTATGGACCCCGCTGCGTCAGCAGCCAGAGTCACGCCTCTGGCCCTCATGATTAATGACATTCAGGGGGAGAAGGTGTCTATGGTAGAAAGCTGGGTAGATCTGGGCAGGTGTTGGGGGCTGTGGGCTCTGAGGTCCTGTGAGCCTCCCTACACAGAGGGTGGGCCTCATGATGGGCTCCAGCCTGGCCCAGCCCTGCAGGCCTTGGCCGGAAGCCCTTGTCCTGCAACTAGGCCCTGCTCCAGGTGACAGGCCCCATCCCTGTTCTCTAGTGCAGCCCTGTACACCCAGCGCAAGGAGGGGGAATAGGGAGGGAGGCCCTTGTGCCAGTGACATGTGACTCCTGTACACTTCAGGGGCCTGGAATCATCTGGAGGCCAGAGTTGGAAGTGGGGGAAAGGTCGCAGCGTCGCGCCAGCTGTGGGACTGTGTGCCAGGCCAGCGGGAGAAAAGGTAGCAGCAGCCAGCTGGGCCAGACACCCCAGGCCAGCCCCTGCCTGGCCATCAGCCACCGGGAAGGCTGCACATACCTCGGACAGGCCTGGCCAGCCATCTGGTCTCCATGGGCTGGAGGCCCCGCTGCAGCGCCCCCCGCCTCTCTCCTGCACGGGCTTCTCCAAGCCTGGCTCTGGCTGTCCTAACAGGAAGGCTTTCTGGGGCCAGCTCTGGGGTGCAGAGAGCCAGAGCAGAGGAGTGGCTGGACAGGGGTCTGGTGGGTGTGAGGCCTCGCCACGGGGCTCCTGCTAACCATCTGCCCTCCACACCTGTGCGCAGAGGCTCTCAGAGGAGGGAGGCAGAGGCAGAAAAGAGATGTGGGCAGTGTTCTCCCCCCTCAGCTAGGCCTGCCACATCAGGCTGCAGCCAGGGACCCGCAGCACTGTGTCCTGGGGGCATCTGCTGACTGGGAAATAGCTCACTTGTGGGGCCCACACAGGGACCTGTTCACGCTGGCCCATCCAGGCATCCTGTCCTTTCCCTTTACTCAGCCAAGGCGACTGCAAGTCTTCGAGGTTGCCAGGACCACCAAAGCCTTCCACTCAATGCACGTGCCTCAGGGCACTTCACCAGGCCTTGGCTTTTGAACATTGAGGTTGTTTCCAGATTTTTGCTGAGTTTGTTTCAACCAGCAGACAGTTAAGCCGGGCTCCTGCTAAGTGCTTCCCAGTGCATGGATGAAAGACAATGAACCTGGTCCTGCCGCCCTTCCAGAGCCCACCTGCTCCAGACAGAGGCAGGCGTCAGTCGCAGAAGCAGAGGATTCTGCCACAGCAGGGAGGTGAGCACGTGGACAGGGAGAGCAGGAGAGGGGACCTGGGGGGCACAGGTGGGGCCTGGACTCAGCTCAGGCTTGGGGGTGGGGAGCTCCAGCTAAGCTGACGGTGGATTGGTGATAACTGGGGAAGGGAGAGGAGCTTTGTTGTATGAGGGACAGGATTGGGTCAACTTTAGATGCAGGCAGACCAGAGCTGGGGGAAATTAGGAGAGGGAGATGATTGTTTTCAGTAGTAGATTCAGGTAATCTTTTAAATTTTGGTAAAATGTGGGGAGGAGGGGGGAGGGAGAGGGGGATGGGGAAAGCTTGGACAAGGGGCATAAAGAAAAATTATGATTTGTAACAATATATATGTTAGTGATATTGATTTGATCAACATATCTCAATGTTGAACCCCAAAAATGTGTATAATCAATTTTGATTCAATAAAAATTTTTAAAAATAAAAATTATAAATAAATAAATAAATAAGTTTTTGTAAAACAGCACAATTGAGGTATAATTCATATACAATAAGCTGCACCTATTTAAAGTGTGCAACTTGATAAGCTTTGACATGTATGCACCCCTGAAACTGTTATCACAATCAAGATAATGAACATCTTGTACTGGCCAGCTGCCAAAAAAAAAAGATAATGAACATCTCCATCTCTCTCCAGGGATTCCCGAGCCCCTTATAGTCCCCTCTCTTGCCCCCACCCATCCCCAGGCAACCACTGATCTTTCTGTCACTGTGTATTAGTTTGCATTTTCTGGAGTTTTACATGAATGGGATTGTATAATATGTATTCAGCACAGCTATTGTGAGACTTGTGCAAGTGTGTGTGTGAGTTGTTCATTCCTTTACTGCTGGGTAGTTAGTCCACTGCCATCGGTCAGCTCCTGAGGGAGACTTGAGAACCAAAAGCCCAGTCATGATGAAAACCAGCAGCCTGGCACCACCAGAGGGGCGGAGCTGGCGTGGGCTCCTGCAAAGCCTCAGTCCTGGGGAACTGCCAGTGTTTGTGACCTGTCTGGTGGATCCCTGGAAAACCCCACTTGCAAGGCTGCCTTTATTTGGCCTGACTCAGAGCGCACCCTGTACAAAAAGCCATTTCCCCAAGGGCATTTGCCAAAAAATATTTGGAAGAAATTGTCTAATTTCATGATTGCCTGAGGAGGTGCATAACAGTTGAGGCAGACACTAGGCAAATCAAAAGGCTTTAGAGAAAAATAGGGCAGTGAAAAGTGCATTTTGAGGGCCGGCCCGGTGGCGCACTGCTACAGTGCGCCGCTTGGGAAGTGAAGCCGCGCTCCCGCCGAGGGTTCGGATCCCACATACAGACCGGCCGCTCACTGGCTGAGCGAGGTGTGGGGGCAACACCGAGGGTTGCGATCCCGTTGCCGGTCCCGGTCCGGTACGGGCGCGACACTGAGGGTTGCGATCCGTTGCCGGTCACAAAAAAAGAGACAAAAGGAAAAAAAAAAAAATTGCATTTTGAGGGCTGGCCTTAGCTCAGTTGGTTAGAGTGAGGGGCTGATAACACCAAGGTCCAGGGTTCAGATCCCTGTGCAGGCCAGCCATCAAAAAAAGAGAAAAGTGCATTTTGGTGTTTTGAAAGGCTCGATATATTCCTGGAAACCTAGAAGGCCATGCACATCCATGGGGTGGACTCATGCTCAGGAAGGACCCAAGGAGACCCCAAGATCTCACCTCTGGTTGACCTTGAGGCTCTGCACAAGCAGGAAGTGAAGGCTAAGGCAGAGTTGTCCACTGCCTGGCTGAGTCAAAGGTGTGCCCAGCACCCCCACAAAGCCCCTCAGCCAAGACTGGGAGAATTCAATGTTTAAGGAAACCTGTCCAATCATTAGCCAGCCACTAAGCAAATTGAGCAGAGATTTCCGTGCCCATGAATGACATGGAATATAGACTTTACAGAGTTAGTTCAGAAAAGCCACAAAACAAATGAAACAGCAAGGGCTGTGTGGAAAAAACAAAACACAAACTGCTTGTCTTTGCTTTGCTCTCACAGCACAGTTAGCAGCACAGAATGCCGACTTCTGACTTCAGGGACCAAATGTGTGGGGATTTCTCCCCACCAGCAAGCCAGTAACTCTCCAGCGGGCACCAGCTGCGCATCCTCTAATTTAATTCCAACACTATCTACCTGGAGATGGCATCAGCACCTACAGGGTGAGGGCTCAGTCACCAAGACTGCCCCCTACTTTAGATGCCAGTCCCAAGTCCAGGCCTCTGGAACTTGTGACCAACCAGCTATAAACCGGGGTTCCCGGAACCCTGTTTTGTGGTTTACGTAATTAGCTGAGCAGCTCACAGATCTCAGGGAAACACTTTCCTTTACCCATTTATTACAAAGGATATGAAGAGATACATAGGGCGAGGTCTGGAAGGATCCTGAGCACAGGAGCTTGTGTCCCTGTGGAACTGGGGTGTGCCACCCTCCTGGCAAGTGGAGGTGAAAACCCCCTGTGTTCGCTATGGGAGGCTCTCTGAACCCAGTCCTCTTGGGTGTTTGTGGAGGCTGCACTGCACGGGCATGGTTGATTAAATCACTGGCCACTGGTGATCAGCTTAACCTTCAGTCCCTCTCCCCTCCCCAGAGGTTGGGGTGGCAGGACTGAAAATCCTCCCTTGATCTTTCCTGTGATCAGTCCCCACCCAGAAGCTACCTAGGGGCTGCTGGCCATCATTAGCCTACGAAAAAGATTCATCACTTTGGAAAGTCTAACAATTTCAGGAGTTGTGTGTCAGGAGACAGGGATGAAGACCAGATATATTTTCAAAATATCACAACAAAGCCTGGGGAAGGGGAAGAATCTGATTTCCAGAGTAGCCACATTGTTATATAAAATGTCCAATTTGCAACAACAAAAAAATACAAGACATGCAAAGAAACAAAAAAGTATGGCCCCAAATAAAACGAGTAAATATACACAAACAAAAAAAAAGGAAGTATGTCCCATACACAGGAGGGAAAATCAGTAGACACTGTTCCTGAGGTGTCCCAGATGCTGGACTTACTAGACAGACTTTAAATCAGTTATTTTAAATATGTTCAAAGAATTAAAGGAAAACGTGTAAAGAAGTAAAAGAACGTGTAAGAATGATCTCACACCAAGTGGCACCTCTGGGGTGCCGTCAGCTTGCCCGGAGCCACTTGCTCTCCCCCACTCGTGCCAGGATATGGCTGCCAGGTTGGAAATCGGCGCTGGGAGGCATCGAGCCCCCTTAACTGCCCCCACCAGCCCGAGGAGCTGGAGCCAAAGCAGCCGGGCAGCCTGGCCCCAGGAAGCCACGAGTTCAGGTGGGGCGGTCCTGCGGGCTCCTGAATGGGGCTCGCCTGCTTTGGGGATGGGCTCCATAAGAATGAAAAGGAAAAGAGGGAATCAGCTATTGGGAGTGGGGTGGAAACTGGAAAGGGCACTGCTGTCTTCATGCAGCCACCCTGAGCCAGGCCCTGGGGACTGCTGAGAGATGGCCGGCTCTGTCTGCTGCTGTGACAAGTCACGGAGCCCCCAAGCTCCAGTGAGCACCTCTGTGAAGTTCCTGCCCTGCCTGGCCCTGCCCTCCCACTCACAGCAGCTCTGGGAGCAGCCTAAGGACAGGGCTGTCCTCTCCCCCGGGCTCTCCCCCAGGGGCTTCCGGAAGAGGAGCTACTGGTCCTGGGGGCACCCTCACCCTGCAGAGCCACAGCCCCCATCCTGCCAGGCCTGCAGGACATTTGCAAACAGATGAAGTGCTGTGTGTGGGCACCTAGTAACGGGCTGTAGGCTTGCTTCGTGCTCCATCTGCAGCGCCAAGCAAGGAGCCCACTGCCCTGCTCTGGCCCCACAGGACGCGGGCACGGAAGAGCGAGGCCAGGGGTAAATCCGGCATTCTGAGAGTTGGAGAACTGAAGCAGGGAGAGGACCTCAGACCCAGGGGGCCGGGTGAGGGCTGTGGGAGGCAGGGCTTCCACCTGGGCCCCTCCCTGCACAGCTGAGACCAAGCTCTGGGCAAACAGACCACTCAGCGCCCACCTTGGGAACAGAGCGACCCCTAGACACTACCCAGGGATAGGGAGATGTGCAAGGTGGCCTGTGCATTCCCCAGTAAGCACTGTTTTGTTGGAGTGAGCAAGACAAAAGCCATGTTGCGACCTAAAACCACTTGGGCTCTAAAAGATTTTAAAAGGACACAGTTTTGTCTTGTTTTTCTTAGCATGCATTTTTCTGAGTTCCCTCTTTTCTCATGGTTATTTAATATTTTAAATTTGGTTATAGGGCAAGAAGACATGATTTACACGAATGTAAAGTTGGTTTCCAGCCAGCCTGGAGCAGCAGTCTTGCACGTACTATCCAAGGGAAATCGAGGAAGACGTGAGCAGAGCTGTGCTGATTCCATGCCTCCGACAGGACCCTGAGATAACAGCAAGGACGGGAGCAGAAAGCAGTCCTGGTGAGACTTTGCACCTGGAACCGTCCGTGAAGCCCTTGCAGCTCACGTCCCCTCCCTCCCGCTCTCCACTTCCCTCATTCTATTCCCTCAGCCCCTCTTTAAAAACCCCTCAGTAAATCCAAGTCTTTGAGATGGTTTTAGCCCGGGCACTCTCCTTCAGGTTGACCAGAGAGATGGGTGAGCCTAACATCTCCCCTCAGGTCACCTGTGTTCCTGAATAAAAGCTGACTTCCATTTCACCAACGTTTGACTCTTGAGTGGTTTGTTTTTGGAAGGGGGCAGGCAGCCGGACCTGTATGCCCAGTATCAAGTTTATGGGAGCCTCAGCCAGGAGCTGAGTGGCCCCTGAAGCATGACCTTGGTTGTATTAGTTAGGGTTCTCCAGAGAAACAGAATAGGAGATATATGTGAGAGAGAGAGAGAGACAGAGACAGAGACAGAGATTATAGGCAGCCAGTGTTTTTTTTTTTTTTGTCTTTTTTTTTTTTTCGTGACCGGCAACGGATCGCAACCCTCAGTGTCGCGCCCATACCGGATGGGGACCGGCAACGGGATTGCAACCCTCAGTGTTGCACCCGCACCTTGCTCAGCCAGTGAGCAGCCGGTCTGTACGTGGGATCCGAACCCTCGGCAGGAGTGCCGCCGCGCTCCCAAGCGGCACACTGTAGCAGTGCGCCACTGGGCCGGCCCAGAGACAGAGATTATAGGAACTGGCTTATGTGACTATAGGCACCGATAAGTCCCATGATCTCCCATCTGCAAACTGGAGAACCAGGGGGGCTCATTCAGTGGGAGCCTGAAGGCCTGGGATCTGGGGGGGGCGGCAGGCAGGGGAAGGCCCATGGTCCTGGTCAGGGTCCAAAGGACCGAGAACTAGGAGCACTAGTGTCCGAGGGCAGGAGAAGATGGGATCTTCAGCTCAAGAAGAGAGAGCAGTTCGACCTTCCCCTGTTTTACTCAGGCCCTGGGAGGACTGGACGATGCCTGCCCACACAAATGCTAACCTCTTCCAGAAACGCCCTCACCAACACACCCAGAAATCATGGTTTTCCAGCTATCTGGGCATCTCTTAGCCCCTTGTCCACCTCTTGTCAACTTGCCTAGCACCCACACACATCTTCTCAAACGACACTTCCTCTCCAAATGATGACAATGACAAGGTCATAATTCCACCTGATGACACACCTCTCCTGTGTACAACGGAAACGCACTAACCCCTTCTGCAGAAGAGGAGGTAAAGTCCTTGAGTGACGTTTACGCTTCTCCTGATATCCCATAACTTAAATCCCACGATGTAAAGTTAGCAATTCCTAAATACTGATATAAAGTCAATACACCTGATGTTACATGATAAGGGAATAAGAAAGAAAAACAAAGATACTTGCTAACATATGTAGGATACACACGAATGACAAAATGAGGAGGAAATACTCCCGACAGTCACAGCCCTCACTTCTGTGATGGTCACAGTCACGGTCACATGGTCGTAGCCGGTTTTCCTAATTACCTTTTCCTACTCCCCACTCTGCATTCTCTCTGCCCTCGGCGAGCACCTCAGCTGTCGTGATTCTTTACCTGGCGGTGTGACCTGAACCTTCATCCTTGGAGAGTCGGGGCCTTTAGTGGTCCTGCCTGGACTGGGTTGTAATTTCCCATTGGCTTTAATCACAGGGCGTGGTGGGATGTCCTGTATTCCAGACACACTCTTCCTTACCTCCACGAGGAGGACAACTTCCCCTTCACAGTCCGGATCAATCACCGCAGCCGACACCACGACTCCCTTCTTAGCCTGTTGACTCAGAGGCCTGAGGAGCTCAAAATGGCCGGGTGGCAGCCCTGACTTCCAGCTCAAGGGATCATTGTGGTGTCTCCAGGTGGCAGCATTCCTCTCTGGATCCAAGACCTCTAGACCAGCACAGCATAAAGTTGTGGGCACGGGAAGCAAAAACTCTGCTAGTGGGTCCCTAGGGGTGATGGTGAGTGGTGCCACTCCCGTTTCCACCCCTTGATTCCTGGACCCATGAATCCTGGCTACGGGAGAGACAGCATCATGCACTGACCGCTGACGCACAGCTTCTACTGTCTTCTGGAGAACCTTGCCCCAGCCCTGCAAGGAATTATCACCTAGCTGGTGCAGTAATGGAGTCTTCAATGGCCATTCCACTGTTCTATCAATTAGGTGCTTCAAGATGGTGGGGAACATGGTAACACAGCAAATTCCTTGAGTATGGGCCCATTGCCAAACTTATTCGGCTGTGAGGTGAGTTCCTTGACCAGAAGCAATGCTGTGTGGAATGCCGTGATGTGGCTAAGGCATTCTGTTAGCCCACAGTGCTAGTTTTGGCAGAAGTATTGTGTGCCGGAAAGGCAAATCCATATGCAGAGTGTCTATTCCAGGAAGAACAAAACACTGCCACTTCTGCAATAGAACTGGTCCAATGTACCCAACCTGTCGCATAGCTGGCCGATCACCCCAGGGAGTGGTGCCATATTGGGGGCTCAGTGTTGGTCTCTACTGCTGGCAAATTGGGCACACAATGTTGGCCATAGCCAGGTCAGCTTTGGTGAATGGAAGTCCACAGTGCTGAGCCCAGGCATAACCTCCATCCCTGCCACCTAGGCCACTTTTCTCATGAGCCCACTGGGCACTGACCGGTAGCTGTGGAAAAAAGCTGACAGGCACCCACAGAATGGGTCATCCTTCCCACTTGATTGTTGTGGTTTTCCTCTGCTGAGGTCACCCTTTGGTGAGAATTCACATGGGACACCAATATCTTCACGTTTGTGCCCATTCAGAGAGGTCTATCCACATACATACCTCTTCCCCAAATTTCATTGTCATCAAATTTCTAATCGTGTTCCTTCCAAGTCCCTGAGCATACAGCCAAACCATCGGTTACAGCCCATGAATGGGTACATAGTCACATGTCCGGCCATTTCTCCTTCCAAGCAAAGTGAATGACCACACGCACTGCTTGAAATTCTGCCCACTGGGAGGATTTCCCTTCAGCCGCTGCCCTTCAGGGGTGTCCCAGGAAGGAGCTGTCCTGCCGCAACTGTCCACTTTCGGGTGGTGCCCGCATATCACGCAGAGCCATGTGTGAACCAGGCCTGAGTCTTCTCTTCCTCTGTCAGCTGATCGTAGGGAATTCCCCGTGAAGCCACAGGCACGGACTGAGAGAAGGCAGTGCAGCAGCAGCAGGATCCACGGGCATGTGGGCCATGTGTTAGTCCATTTCGTGTTGCTATAGCAGGATACCTGAGACTGGGTAATTTATAAAGAAAAACGACATTTATTGCTTACAGTTTCTGAGGCTGGGAAGTCCAAAGTCCATCTGGTGGTGACAGTGACCCAGGGGTCTCACACTGCAAAATGGTGGAAGCAGAGAACAGAGAGAGGGAAAGACAGACTCTCCTCCTCTTTTGAAGTCCTCAGAACCATGTCCCTTGACCACCATTTTTAATCCATTCACTACTGCTGGGTCCTACAATCCAATCACCCATGCAAGGCTCCACCTTTCATTTACCATAATAGGATTTCCCACCCTCTTAACAGGCACAGTGGGGGCCAAGTTTCTAATACATAAAACTTGGGGACACAATTCAAGCTTCAGGGAGTTTTAGGGGGACATAATTCAATCAGGCCACTTCTTCATGTAACCTACTTGTGCCTTCAGGGCCTGCTTGGGCCAGATCACGTACATACCACTTCCGTTTGATGATTGAGTGCTGCTGTGCATGTCCAGCTTTATGGCTGGGTCAGATAAGAGGCAGTTCGTGATGGGCAGCTCAGGTCACACAGTAACTTGGTGGCCCACAGTCAAGTGTTCTGTTTCTGCTAAGGCCCAGTTGCAGGCCGAGAGCTGTTTCTCAAAAGAGAGTACTTATTTGCAGAGGTTTGCAGGGCCTTGCTCCAAATTCCCATGGGCCTCTGATGCGCCTCACCTGTGGGGCCTGCCAAGGCCTCCAAGCGGCATCCCTCTCTGCTGCTGACTCCTCAAGCACCACTGGGTGTGCTGGAACATATGGCCCAAGGAGCAGAGCAGCTTGCACAGCAGCCTGGACCCGTTGCAGAGCCTTCTTTTCTGGACCCCACTCAAAGCTAGCAGCTTTTTGGGTCATGGAGTAAATAAGCCATAGTAACACACCAAATGAGGAATATGTTGTCTTCAAAATCCAAAGATGCCCAATAGCCGTTGTGCCTCTTTTTCTTGGTTGCAGGAGATCCATGTTTTAGCCACCCAACCAAATTTGTAAAGCTCTACGTTTATTTCAACGGATAAAATGTTAACCACATTCTGCACTTTTCTTTTCTTTTTCTTTCTTTTTTTTTCCTTTTTGTCTTTTTTCATGACCGGCAACGGATCGCAACCCTCAGTGTTGCGTCCGTACCGGACCGGGACCGGCAACGGGATCGCAACCCTCGGTGTTGCTCCCGCACCTCGCTCAGCCAGTGAGCAGCTGGTCTGTATGTGGGATCCGAGCCCTCGGCGGGAGCGCCGCTGCACTCCCAAGTGGCGCCACCGGGCAGGTCCCTCTTTTTCTTTTTTTTTATAAAGATGACCGGTAAGGGGATCTCAACCCTTGGCATGGTGTTGTCAGCACCATCCTCCCCCAGTGAGCCAACCAACCATCCCTATATGGGATCCCAACCCATGGCCTTGGTGTTATCAGCATCACACTCTCCCGAGTGAGGCAGGGCCGGCCCTACATTCTGCACTTTTCTTTCCTCCATTCTTTCATAATGGCTCACGCTGAGCAGTCTGGATGCTAAACTGGTGTGTTTTAAGCTTTTGGGACTGGAGGAGCTCATGTCTCAGCCCCGGCAGATTCTTGTTCACAGAAAGCCCTCTCCTCTTCTCCCCGGTAAACAGCCCACTGAATCTCTTAAGCATTAAGTATCCAGTAATTTCCCTAGTCAGCCATTGAGGTCTCGGCATATGGTAAGACACAAAGAAAGAAAGAAAAAATGTTCAAAGGTAATAGGGAATAAAAAACAACTATCTTGCATTATTTTAGTTTTTATCTTTTTTCCCCTGAAAATTAAGCTCCTTTGCTTTTTTTCAGTAGGGCAAAGAAACCAGGTCATGCAACAAATCAAGATAATCATGATTTAACTGTGTAAACGTATGACCTCAGGTGATCCTGCTCATAGGGGCTGATGTGCACTTGCACATGAGGTGATTTTGCTGGGCTTTGGATAAAATTTTCTATAAAGAGTAACAATAAAATCAGGCACTAGA